CACTGTTAATTTACCCATTGTATGTTCTTTTTTTTTTTTTTCCTTTTTGTCTTTTTTTCATGACCGGCAACGGATCGCAACCCTCAGTGTCGCGCCCATACCGGACCGGGACTGGCAACGGGATCGCAACCCTCGGTGTTGCTCCCACACCTCGCTCAGCCAGTGAGCGGCCAGTCTGTATGTGGGATCCGAACCCTCGGCGGGAGTGCCGCTGCACTTCCCAAGCGGCGCACCATAGCAGTGCGCCACCGGGCCGGCCCCCATTGTATGTTCTTGGTGCCCTTGTTGAAGATCAGTTGTTTGTAAATATGTGGTTGGATTTCTGGGTGCTCTGTTTCTTTGGTCTGATTATCTGTTTTTATGTGAGTGTCATGTTGTTTTGGTTACTATAGATTTTTAATATAATTTAAAGTCATGAAGGATAATGCCTCCAGCTTTATGCATTTATTTTTCTCAGGATTTCTTTGGATATTTGTGTTCTTTTGTGGTTCCATATGAATGTGTGGATAGTTTATCCTATTTCTCTGAACAATGTCATTGGTATTTTGATGGGGATCATGTGGAATCTTTAGACAGCTTTCGGTAGTATGGAAATTTTCACTACATTGATTCTTCCAATCCATGAACAGGGAAAGTCTTTCCATCTTTTGGTATCCTCTTTAATTTCTTCCATCAGTGATTTGTAGTTCTCATTGTAGCATTCTTTGACCTCCTTGCTTAAATTGATTCATAAATATTTTGGTTTTTTGGTAACTATTGTAAATAGTGTTGCTTTCTTGAATTCTTTTTCTGCTAGTTTGTTGTTCGAGTGTAAAAAACACTATTGGTTTTTGTGTACTGATTTTGTATCCTGCAACATTACTAAATATTTTTTGTCAGCTCTAAGAATTTTTCAGTACAGTCTGTCAGGTTTTCTATATATAGGATCTTGTCTTCTCCAAACAGAGACAATCTGACTTCATCTTTTCCTCCTGGGATGCTCTTTATTTCTTGCTCCTGTGTAATTTCTCTGGCAAGTACATCCAATATAAGGTTAAATAGGAGTGGTGAGAACAGGCATCCTTGTCTTGTTCCTGTTCTTAAAGGAAAAGCTTTCAGCTTTTCCCCATTCAGGGTGATACTGGCAGTGGATATGTCATATATGACTTTTATTTTGTTGAGATAACTTCCTTCCATACCTAATTTGTTGAGTCTTTATCATGAAGGGATGTTGAATTTTGTCAAATTCTTTTTTTGTATCTATTGATATGATCATATGGCTTTTGTTCTTGATTTTGTTGATGTGGTGTATCTCATTTATTGATTTGCATATGTTGAACCCTCCTTGCATCCCTGGGATGAATCCCACTTGATCATGATGTATAACCTTTTGATGTACTGCAGTATTCTGTTCGCTAATATTTTGTTGAGGATTTTTGTGTCTGTGTTTATCAAGGATACTGGCTTGTAGTTTTCTTTTTTGTTGTATCTTTGTGTGGTTTTGTTATCAGGGTGGTGCTGCCCTCATAGTGAGTTTGGGAAAATGGCCTCCATTTTAACTTTTTAGGATAGTTTGGAAAGAATTGGTATTAATTCCTTTTTAAAGGTTTGGTAAAATTCATCAGTGAACCCATTAAATCCTGGCCTTTTGTTTGCTGGAAGATTTCTGGTTACTGCTTCAATTTCATTGCTCATTATTGGTGTGTGTGTGTGTTTTTTTTCTTCTTGACTCAGTCTTGGTAGTTCGTATGTGTCCAGAAGTTTATCCATTTCCTCTAGGTTTTCAAATTTGTTCATGTATAGATGTTCATAGTAATCTTTAAAGATTCTTTGTATTTCTGTGGTATCAGTGGTCACGTCTCCTTTTTCATTGCCAATTTTTGTTGTTTGGGTCTTCTCTCTTCTTAGTTTCCCTAGCTAATGATTTGTCTACTGTGTTTCTCTTCTCAGAAAACCACCATTTTGTCCATTGATCTTTTTGTCTCTGTGTCATATTTTTAGTCTCTATTTGTTTTTACTCTGATTTTAATTATTTCTTTCTTTCTACTAATTTTGGGATTTGATTGTTCTTGTTTTTCCAGTTCTTCGTATGTAGCGTTAGGTTCCTTTTCTGAAATCTTTCTAATCTTTTGATGTTAAGCATTTATTGCAGTAAAGTTTACTCTTAGTATGTCTTTTGCAGTATCCCATAGGTTTTGTTTGATGTGTCGTTGTTGTCATTAGTTTCAAAAAGTGCTTAGATTTCCAGTTTGATTTATTTTATGACCCATAAGTCATTCAAGAACATGATGTTTAATTTCCATGTATTTCTATGGTTTCCAAAGTTTCACTTGTTATTGATTATTGTATTAATCCATTGTAGCCTGAGAAGATACTTGAAATTATATCCGTTTTTTCAAAAATGTGTTGATATTTGATTTGTGACTTAATATGTAGTCTATCTTGGAGAATGTTCCAGGTGCTGATGAGAAGAATGTATTTTCTCTAGTGTCCATTTTGTCTAAAGTATAGTTTAAATCCTGTGTTTCTGTGTTGATTTGTTGCCTAGGGGATCTGTCCAATGCTGATAGTGACATTCAGATCCCCAACTATTATCGTATTGAGGTTTCTCTCTTTAGATATAATAATGTTTGCTTTATATGTCTGACTGTACCAATCTTGAGAACATATATATTTATATTTGTTATGTCTTCTTGGTGGATAGATAATTTTATCATTATATATTGGCCTTTTTCTTTTTTGTTAGGTTTTGGTTTAAAGTCTTATTTTATCTGATGTAAGAATAGCTACTCCTGCTCTATTTTGGTTTCCATTTATGTGGTATATCTTTTTCTATCCTTTCATTATTAGTCTATGTGAGTCTTTATACATGAGGTGGGTATATTGTAGGCAGCATACAGTTGA